AGGAAAACCTGATCTGGTGGTTTGGACTTCAGAACCACTTGATCCGGATTCCTGGACCCAACACAACCGAATGAGTTCAACACTTTTTTTACCAGAACCCAACAGAACTTCCACTGGCCGTCTTCTGGCCTCACTTAGATCTGGAGACAGGAGTCCTACTGGGTCTGGGTCGGTTCAACTGAAAAGTATCATAGAGCTGCAGCTGTAAATTGTGAAAGCTACTATTTTCTTTTGTTTGTTTTGATTGTTGGCTCAGAAAATGATTAAGCTAATACCAAACAAGCTAGCTGCTTTAGCAGCATGACTGCTAACTGATCTACAAGCGTACCCGCTAACTGCTACGGTAGCGTGACCGCTAGCTGCTACAGCAGAGTGACCGCTAGCTGCTGCAGCAGAGTGACCGCTAGCTGCTATGGCAGAGTGACCGCTAGCTGCTGCAGCAGAGTGACCGCTAATTGCTAAGGCAGAGTGACCAGTAGCTGCTAAGGCAGAGTGATCGGTAGCTGCTACAGCAGAGTGACCGCTAGCTGCTATGGCAGAGTGACCACTAGCTGCTAAGGCAGAGTGACCGTTAGCTGCTAAGGCAGAGTGACCGCTAGCTGCTAAGACAGAGTGACCGCTAGCTGCTAAGGCAGAGTGACCGGTAGCTGCTGAGGCAGAGTGACCGGTAGCTGCTAAGGCAGAATGACCGCTAGCTGCTATGGCAAAGTGACCGCTAGCTGCTATGGGAGTGACCGCTAATTGCTAAGGCAGAGTGACCGCTAATTGCTAAGGCAGAGTGACCACTCGCTGCTACAACAGAGTGACCGCTAATTGCTAAGGCAGAGTGACCGCTAGCTGCTGCAGCAGAGTGACCACTAGCTGCTACAGCAGAGTGACCGCTAATTGCTAAGGCAGAGTGACCACTAGCTGCTGCAGCAGAGTGACCGGTAGCTGCTGCAGCAGAGTGACCGCTAATTGCTAAGGCAGAGTGACCGCTAATTGCTAAGGCAGAGTGACTGTTAGCTGCTAAGGCAGAGTGACTGTTAGCTGCTGCAGCAGAGTGACCGCTAGCTGCTAAGGCAGAGTGACCGCTAGCTGCTAAAGCAGAGTGACCACTAGCTGCTAAGGCAGAGTGACCGCTAGCTGCTAAGGCAGAGTGACCGCTAGCTGCTAAGGCAGAGTGACCGGTAGCTGCTGAGGCAGAGTGACCGGTAGCTGCTAAGGCAGAATGACCGCTAGCTGCTACGGCAGAGTGACCGCTAGCTGCTATAGGAGAGTGACCGCTAGCTGCTATAGGAGAGTGACCGCTAATTGCTAAGGCAGAGTGACCGCTAATTGCTAAGGCAGAGTGACCGCTAGCTGCTAAAGCAGAGTGACCACTAGCTGCTAAGGCAGAGTGACCGCTAGCTGCTAAGGCAGAGTGACCGCTAGCTGCTAAGGCAGAGTGACCGGTAGCTGCTGAGGCAGAGTGACCGGTAGCTGCTAAGGCAGAATGACCGCTAGCTGCTACGGCAGAGTGACCGCTAGCTGCTATAGGAGAGTGACCGCTAGCTGCTATAGGAGAGTGACCGCTAATTGCTAAGGCAGAGTGACCGCTAATTGCTAAGGCAGAGTGACCGCTAGCTGCTGCAGCAGAGTGACCACTAGCTGCTACAACAGAGTGACCGCTAGCTGCTAAAGCAGAGTGACCACTAGCTGCTAGGGCAGAGTGACCACTAGCTGCTACAGCAGAGTGACCGGTAGCTGCTGCAGCAGAGTGACCGCTAGCTGCTAAGGCAGAGTGACCGCTAGCTGCTAAGGCAGAGTGACCGCTAGCTGCTAAGGCAGAGTGACCGCTAGCTGCTAAAGCAGAGTGACCGCTAGCTGCTAAGGCAGAGTGACCGCTAGCTGCTAAGGCAGAGTGACCGTTAGCTGAAAAGGCAGAGTGACCGTTAGCTGCTACGGCAGAGTGACCGCTAGCTGCTAACGCAGAGTGACTGTTAGCTGCTAAGGCAGAGTGACTGTTAGCTGCTGCAGCAGAGTGTCCGCTATCTGCTAAGGCAGAGTGACCGCTAGCTGCTAAAGCAGAGTGACCACTAGCTGCTAAGGCAGAGTGACCGCTAGCTGCTAAGGCAGAGTGACTGCTAGCTGCTAAGGCAGAGTGACCGTTAGCTGCTAAGGGAGAGTGACCGTTAGCTGCTAAGGCAGAGTGACTGCTAGCTGCTGCAGCAGAATGACCGCTAGCTGCTGCAGCAGAGTGACCGCTAGCTGCTAAGGCAGAGTGACCGCTAGCTGCTAAGGCAGAGTGACCGCTAGCTGCAAAGGCAGAGTGACCGCTAGCTGCAAAGGCAGAGTGACCGCTAGCTGCTAAGGCAGAGTGACCGTTAGCTGCTAAGGCAGAGTGACCGTTAGCTGCTAAAGCAGAGTGACCGCTAGCTGCTAAGGCAGAGTGACCGCTAGCTGCTAAGGCAGAGTGACCGTTAGCTGAAAAGGCAGAGTGACCGTTAGCTGCTACGGCAGAGTGACCGCTAGCTGCTAAGGCAGAGTGACTGTTAGCTGCTAAGGCAGAGTGACTGTTAGCTGCTGCAGCAGAGTGTCCGCTATCTGCTAAGGCAGAGTGACCGCTAGCTGCTAAAGCAGAGTGACCACTAGCTGCTAAGGCAGAGTGACCGCTAGCTGCTAAGGCAGAGTGACTGCTAGCTGCTAAGGCAGAGTGACCGTTAGCTGCTAAGGCAGAGTGACCGTTAGCTGCTAAGGCAGAGTGACTGCTAGCTGCTGCAGCAGAGTGACCGCTAGCTGCTGCAGCAGAGTGACCGCTAGCTGCTAAGGCAGAGTGACCGCTAGCTGCTAAGGCAGAGTGACCGCTAGCTGCTAAGGCAGAGTGACCGTTAGCTGCTACGGCAGAGTGACCGTTAGCTGCTACGGCAGCCGGTTAGTCTTTATTTTATTGGTCCAGATTGGAGGCGCTAGCTGTAAAGTACATTATTGAACAGACCGTCAGGAGGAACCAGAACCACCAGAACCTCTGCATGTCTGGACTGCAGTGTGACCCATAAAGGCATGGTTCTGGTTCTGTGGTTGATCTGCTGAGTAAAACCGACCCGGGTAAGTCCAGGTGCTGGTACCGACCCAGCCCACCTAATGTCAGGAGCCGTCCTGGTGGCTCACCTTGTTGGGTCATGTGACCGTTACCGTGACAACAGTGGAGCTCCTG